GGACATGTAGATTCTCATCTCTTCCTTGAAGTGAAACATTGAGAGGTTATTCTTATAACTACACAAAATTGATGAAAGTTCTTGATAGGTTCACTAAAAAGAGAATAATGGAGAGAAGAATAAAGGAAAATATGAATGAGAAGAAAAAGAATGTACCCCAGTTTCAGATGCCTTGTTAGTGAGTGTCGCTGCTGTAGCTACTAGTTTTCGGGGCTGACAAATGAAAAGGAAAGAAGAAAAAAACGAAGAAAGAAAGGAAGGCCACGGAATTCAGAAGAGGTGGTTTGCGAACCGAACGATGGCGACGACGGAAAGTGAAAGAAGGAAGAAGAAGACACTCTAAGACTTTCAGAAACACGCCGATTGCGAGAAAAAAAGAAACAATATGAAAAAAAAAAACACAGGAGAAACAGACAGACTGCTCGTTTTGATGCCAAAAATCCTGTATAGGGATAGCCTTCTTTGCGGTTAGTGCACGGAGCGCAGCACTCTTTGACACACAGACACCCCGCGCAAAACACAGTACCAAGTTGGTTGGGCTGTCTCCAAATCCCTGTGCTCTTTTTCTCTCTCACGGTAAAAAGCCATACAATACGTCTTTTTCCAAAATTTGTTCTTTTCCTGACTGTTGTTGCTGCTGCACATTGAAGAAGACGGCACTAAAAGAGGCACACGGGAATAGTACACCAATTGCGTCGTATGTCGCGGAATGCGGGAAGAAGAATCCAACGGAGACGCAGGTCAGCCGCCAGGCGACGAAAGGCAAGAAGATGACGACGAAACGACAGAAAACCAGTCCGCGCGCAAGCGAGATGTGCGCGCCCACCTTTCTGATTGTGAGAGAAGGCATCTGACTGAGTGCATGATTTGAAGAGATTCTGAGATCTAGACGACAAGAAATCCTATCAAGAAACAATGGCATGAAGAAGGAAGAAGCAACATATATGCCGATCCCTTCGCTGATCGAAATTTAGCTTTAATCGTTCTGTGTATGTCTATGTCTCTCATCTCTCCCATTGACCGTAAAAAATGATAGAGATTACTGTATAATGATGGTTCTTAGGTATCTTTGGATCTTTTTTATATTGTAAAAACATCAAAAGAACCCCGTTTAATGTAAACTGTAACAACATAAATATCACACTGTTTTTTTTTTCAATTCCATTCAGCAAACCCAACAGGAAACTTTTGATCGGTCATTGTTTTTTGAATGACTCATTCTTCCGAAGTACAAAAGTAAATATAACTGTTAAATACTCAAAAACCTTGTTCCGCACATTGAATGTATGTTAACTGTGTTATAACACATCCGATCCACACTTTCGTCTTATCAAAGGCGTTTCTAACTATTCTAATTCCCCGCATATCTTGCAAATTGACATTTTCCTCGTTCTTGTGTTTCAGAACTGTTAGGAAGAAAGCAAAAGAAAATGAGAACAGTCATTCAATCGAACCGACCTGTCCTCCTCCCCAAACTTTCGCTGCAAGATTGAAAAAATAGATTGGAAAAGAGAAATGGACGTCTTGAAGTAGGTGAACCAGAGAGAGAAAGGGTCAATTCTAATGAAGGAAACTTCATACCCAGCCGCATACAGTACCAGGCAGCAAGATATACAAAACACCTAGTTTTCAGTTGACTTTCGACCATTTTGGCCAATTTCCAGAGTCTGGAGCACGGCTTCCAAGTTTCCCATCATTTTGAGAATTTTGAAGGAAATTTTCCAAGTTTTCAATCCAAGTCACCGTCTAAAACATTCAAAGTGATCAGAAACGCGACAGACGAGCTTCAGGGTTCTGGAAATTGTCGAAATGACCGAAAACTCACTGAAAATACGTTTGTGTACATCTTATTGACCGGTACTGTTATTGAGATCCCTCGAATTTCTCTTAAACCCAAAGTTACCGGGGAAAAGTTGACTGACTACAAAAACTAGGACATTTTTCATCAAATAGTGTTAGTCACTACACCGTGGTTGTTCTTCGTCAGTATGAAAAAAAAATTCGAATGAAAATTTTCGAAAACGGAAGAACGGTGAAACATAAAAGAAGAAAAAGAATAAACAAAAACTTTTTTCCCACCACCAGTGGTCTATTTACTATGGCGATTCACACACGAAGATGGAAAATATGTAATATTTTTAGATTTTATAAAACTGATTCTGGTTTTCTATGCTGATCAAGAACTTCCAAAATAGGATTTAATTGATGCAGATACTTAAAATAAACATATCCAGGTTTCCAAAGTTAAGAATTTTCTACTATTGGAAAAAAGTTCACAGTGGCACATTCAAAGAATTAAAAAAAGATGCGAAAAACTTTCAACAGAAGAGATTGGCGAGACAACACGAGAATACCAGCTGAGTGATGGCGTAGTGAGGCGCCGATAGATTTTGGGTGTCAAGTTACAGGACTCAACTGGAATCAATGCTTTCGCCCCGCGCTCTTATCGGCGCGAGCACAGAAACCAAAAATTTTTTGAAGAGTCTATGTGTGTGCGTCATCTAAACAAGGAAAATGAGAACAGGGACAGGGAGAAGAAAAGGACGATTTGTTAGAAGAAGAGGAAGAAGGCGGACGACGACGCGACAGTCGTCGTGATAATCATGATATGCATTTTGTTCGTTTGCCCATAAAGCACACATACAATACATACACAGGCATCCAACGACGACAACGAACAAGAAGAAGAGGCTGGACCCCCAACCAACACAAAATGATGATGACAACGATTTGTCAAAGAGGAGACGAAGAAGAAGACAGTCCCGTACCGACTGTGTTGCTGCTAATGCCGAGGCGCAGTGTAGTGGCATACATACATACACTCCTGAGACTGGTTTTTATCGTCAGTCACTGATGATGATCGTTGCTTCTGCTTCTTCCCCATTCGACGTCTTTTTTCCACTGTCTTCGGGCCCGTATCAAAACATATACAAAAGCGTGTGCTTCTTCTATTCTTCTTCATAGCAAAGGAAAAAAAATAGTCTAACGATTAGTAAGGTGGTTGGGTTGTTACGCGGACATCTTCAATACTCTAAATACATCCTGAATTACATAGATACTCCGTTGCAAACTATCCTAAACTAGATGTCTAGTTCAGTGAGAATCATAGTTTCTCACTCCACTTGAAGCAGCGTTTTTTGACATCTAGTATCAACAGAAAGTAGTGGACCTCAAGCAGATTCGAAGATAATCCAGAGAGCTCTCTAGAGAGTTCGTTATTCACGGAAGTGATAAAAAATTTTCAAAGAGTCTTAACATATCCAGATTCCATTTGCGAGAAATAAATTTAAAAACGGACCTAATAGGTTTTCGAGTCTATTTGGAGCGCTACCATCTTCGGCTTTTATGAATTGCGCATTCTAGAGAAACGAGAGAATTCAAAATTGACGAGACAGATTTTCTCTTTCAATTATAACGAGAGCCCCCATTGAGAACGAGCATAATATATGGATTAGCCGCCGGTGAAAGATCTCGGAATCCGGATTAAAACGAGAATATAAGGAAAGATGAGAAAAACGGCTGGAAACACTAGCTATCACATCGTGATTTGAAGCGAACCGAATTGTTTAGTAGGACACAACATCACGCAATCTAGGGTATTTATTCATGAGCAAAAGGACAGAAACCAGCAGAGGGCGAAGGCAATTCGAAGCTAAATGGGATCATGAACAAGCACTTGTGGGAAACCTCTAATTTGGTAGAATATTGTACGACTGGATTATAGAAAAATGAATATTCAAAGAAAAAAACTAACCTGACAAACCAATTCCACCCACTTGTGATCGTCCCTGTCTCCAACTGGTAATGATTCACCCAAGTTCTGGAAAAGTGAAAATTAGATATCAAAGAAAATGGACATTCATCAAGAATATTCGATGAAAACTAAAGTGGATAGCAAAAAGGAGAAATATCGAAGTCCCAGTAAAAAGTGAATTTCCGTTCTGCACATAAATAATTTCGATACGATTATCGATTTTCTTATCAGTCTAAGGAAACTTGTAGTTTGATCTAGAAACATGATGTTCACTGAACAGAAAAGTTGAAAATTCTTTAAAGGATTGCGTTTGTGAGGGACGAGCGAGGTAAAAGAATACCGAAAAGCATACCTTTGATTGAAACGACGCGAAACGTACAGCAGTTCCTGCGCTTCTCGCTCTCTCTCTCTCTTTTATAGTCAGTGGTTGGCAGAAAACTATTGCAGGTTTAAAAGGAAATTTACGAAAAGACGATACATGTTAGAAGGATATTGCTCAAATCCAGCGAAGAAGATTCGGAAAATATCGTTAGAGTTGAAGATAAACCTAGTGGGTTATCTACTCCTTACTGTGAAAGAATTTCTGTTTTCCTACAGCCTCTACCCCTCTAGGCCTCCTAGAATGAACCTATAGAGTTGAGAATCGAATTTTTCAAAAAAATATGCTCAACCTTGGTTTAAAAAACCAGGAAACTTTGCAGAGGCCATTTCCTTATGGACTACAGTATATCAAAGGCGCACTCAAAAAGTTCGTTGATGGTCTCGAGTGGAATTATATTGCTTTCAATACTGTTTTCAAATTAATTTGTCAATTTTCCGAACTTTTTTATGGGAAAGTGGGATTTCTGATCAAAAATTGGAATAAATTGGAATACGATCAAAAATTGGAATAAATTGGAATACGAACTCATCAAAATCCGAATATTTCGAAATTTTCAAAATCGGAACATTTCCATATTTTGAGACTCGGAATTTCCGACAGTCGGGAAAAAGTCCAAAATTTTGTGGCCAGATAAATATATTACCAGGTTATAACAAACTGATAAAACAATCAAGAAAATTAACAAATTTCATATTTATATTCAGTGGGTAACCAATATAGTGCAGATAATGGATTTCAGTTTGTAATTGCACTAAAACAATATAATATAAGTTTTGCAAACAATTGTTTGTGAGATTCGGTAAAAATGGTTGAAAAACTATCCAAAATACTGAAGTTTGCAGGATAGAGATTTGACTGTGTCATTTAATGGGCCTGCAATCTACGACGTTTTGCTCTGTGCGCAATTTCTTCTTCTTTGATGACGTCAATCACAGTATCTCGATATTTTTCGAACTTCAGCTCATGAAGTTTTGCCACACAAGGTGCCAACTTGAAAGAAAAATAATAAACAATTAAGATATCGGAATACTTACGTCCACCCACTTCAATTCGGAAAACAATTCTTTATCCTTGCTGTTGCTACAAGCGAAAGTACCACACTGGCAGACATCTTTCAGCCGTTCTGCGAAATCAGCTCCATAATCGATTGTCAACTAAAGATTAAGAAAAGTTATGGAAATTTAGCTAGAAACCAACCGGAGTTCCTGGAATGATGTCTTCCCGAGCTACCATAATCAGATTGATGTGCGCCGGCGATACACTTTTTTGATACACTCTTAGAATCTCGACATTGGGCACGCAGGAGTGGCCAGCCGTTCTTCCAACGTTCCCACAAGTTGTGGGACAAATAAAAAAGTCCCTTTGGAAAAGCTCGAAGAGCAGACGTTTGTATTCACCAGTGAATTTCATATCCTTTAGATCAACGGGGAGTCTTGTCTCGTTATATTGCCACACTTTGAACGCGTAATCCAGATCTTCGTCAGAAACATTGACTGATTCGCGAATCTCTCCAGTAAAAGTCCTGAATGGAGTTCCGGCTGGAATCGGCACAGAGGATCGTATGTTGAAACCAACGTGTGGATTCTGACGATAGATTTCTAACGGAAATATTTTTTTGTTCGCTAACAAGAGAGTGTTATTCGTGCATTTTCCAGCACATGCACACACTTCCGAGCATGAGAATCCGATATTATCGAACATGACATCCGTATGCTTTGCCAGTATAATCGGTTTGAAAGAGGACTGAAAAAAAACGTATTTATTCTTAGAAAGGCTACACCAGCGACTGATTACATTCTGAAAGAAAGAACAAACGCAAAAACTTACAAATTCACAGCGAGGCCGATCTTTTATATGGAACTGAAATTTTCGAAGCTTTTTATTCATTTTAAAGCATGGACAGTTCTTATTCTCATAGCAAGAAACGATGTTATCGCCTGAATGGCAGTTGCATTTGATCTGAATTTCGCAAATTTATATTCAAATCTCAAATCATAAACCAGCGCTCAAAACTAACCAAGTTCTCCTCTTGTTGAGCTAATTCCATCGCTTTCACCAAATCAGGTTCTTGAGACTTGTCCACAAAATTGACATTACTGTACTCGTAGACGAAGTTGTCGGGAATTTCCAGATTTTTTGAGGTTTCGCCTGGTAAGTCGGAATAAACCGGAATTACATCGTTCTTATCGAAAGTGATATTTTTGGTGATTCTTATGCGTCTGGCTGGAGGAGTATAAGTATCGTCATATTTACCAATACCTCTGTAAAGTACTCTGTCATAACTTTTTCCTGAATGAACTCACATCGTATGCTCCTCATTTTTGTAGAATTTCTCTATGAACCAGTCTATATCTTCCATTTTATCACTTCTGCTGGATTGGAGACTTTGGGCAATAATACGAAAGCATTGACTGTGGCAATCTTTGTTTGTCCAGTCATATTTGTAATTAAGCAAATCTCGATCTAATTTGATCTTTCTATAGAACTTTCTATACTCTTGCTGATAAAAGTGACGTTCATCTGTATCCCATCTTACTAGCACCGCTTCCCTTTTTCTCATAATTTTTCTGTTTTCTATGTCCGAAGCGTTATAATCGTTGAACTGACCGGTTACATCGATCCGTGGTACCTAAAAAAAAGATTCAAACAGTGACAAAATTTGGCAGTTGTTGAGAAACAACTCAAGTTCTCTTCCAACTGGTTTCAAAAGTTATTTTGTCAGAATTCATATCACGCACCGTCGCAGTATATACCCGCTGTTTTCGCCGAGTTTCAGGCTCGGGAGAAGCCATTTTGCACGGGGTTCAACGAGCCACAGCTGAAAAATTTTCTTCGTATGACAATAAACCGTCAGTGGATACAAAAAGCAAGCAAGGAAAACCATTTGAAGACTAAGCATCAGATTGCATTCAATTTATATACTCAAACACATGAAGCATGCATGAAAAGTTTCTAAAAACATTAGAAAAACACATTTTTATGTCATCGATAACCCTATTGTCGAATTAAATAAAGTGGGACCTGGAAAATTTCGCGGGCGGCTTCCCGGTCAATTTTCGAGGCCTTGCCTCAAAATCACTACAGTAGTAAACGAAATTTATTTCTGTGAATTCAATGGGATTTTCTGGACAAAATTTAGATTTCTTGGTATGAAACGCCTTTCAAATTCTCAGGTCCCACTTTTTTAATTTGACAATAATATCAATTTCCTTTCAATACTCCATCACAACCAAAAAATACGTTTTCTTTTTGCAAAAATAATTTTGAAAACGATGTGGCCGCGGCCTAGAAATCTTGCGAACAACAGTGCTCTGCTGGACAATTTCGCTTCTGAGTATCAAACGTTTGATCCTCAGTCGACGAAAATGTAGTGGCCTAAAATTCGTTGTTCTGTGTTACTTTTGGGCCCCTCGTCCATACAAGATGGTGAGTTTTTTTAGCTCGATTTGCATATTCCGCTAAAACTTTAGCTGTGAATTGTGCATTTCCGTAAATTTGTGGAATCTAACGATATTATTTCCAGCCAAGCAAAAAGGTCATCAAGAAGAAAGTCGCCGCTGTTCCAGCGCACATCCGCGCTCAAACTCAAGTCCAAAAGGAGGTGAAGAACCCACTTTTCGAGAAGAGACCGCGCAACTTCAACATCGGTAGGTTTTTAACTGGGTTGGGAACGTTTTTCCATTATCTACACGTGATTAGCGGTCCTCTTCGGGGTTGACTGCTTCTCATTGTGGAGCATCGAGGGCTTTCTATTAAGTTGACCTTGGTCCACCGTGTCGTATACCAACAGTCTGTGTGGCCCTCTAATGCTACTTGAGATGCCCGGGCTGAATTGCATATTCCTTATCCTTCCGTAGATCCGACGGATCAATGACGGTTAGGACAAACCATGCAAATTACAATAATATCCAAATTATAATGAACTTCAATTACAGGACAAGACATCCAGCCAAAGAGAGATGTTACCCGCTTCGTCAAGTGGCCTAAATACATCCGTCTTCAACGTCAATCGGCTATTCTCCAGAAGCGCCTGAAGATCCCACCAACCATCAACCAGTTCAGAACCGCCCTTGATAGCCAGTCCGGTTGGTATAGCTAAGTTCTTATCAGAGTAATGTAGTATAAGCAAACCTTGTGTTTTGCACTGACGCATCCACTCTGACAGGTGAAGTAAGATTTGATTGATGAAGGTGGTGGTTAAGGAGCTTAACTATTGTTTTTCAGCTAGACAAGCTTTCAAGCTTCTTGACAAGTACCGCCCGGAATCAAGCGAGGCCAAGAAGGATCGTCTTCGTGCTCGTGCCGAGGCTCGTGCTGCTGGAAAGAAGGAGGAAGTCACCAAGCGCCCAAACACTGTCCGCCATGGAGTCAACACCATCACCCGCCTTGTTGAAACCCGCAGAGCTCAATTGGTCCTCATCGCTCACGATGTCAACCCAATCGAGATTGTTCTCCACCTCCCAGCCCTCTGCCGCAAATTCAACGTTCCATACGCCATCATCAAGGGAAAGGCTGCTCTCGGAACCGTTGTCCGCAGAAAGACCACTGCTGCTCTCGCTCTTGTCGATGTCAACCCGTAAGATAGTAAAGTGAGGCTATGAGTGAGACTGTTTTTTGTTTCAGAGAGGACAAGTCTGCCTTGAACAAACTCGTCGAGACTGTCAACAACAACTTCAGTGAGCGCCACGAGGAGATCCGCAAGCACTGGGGGGGAGGAGTCATGTCTGCCAAGTCTGATGCCCGCAAGCTCAAGCTTGAGCGTGCCCGTGCTCGTGATCTTGGAAAGCTCTAAATTGTTTTTGTTGAAAATAAAAACTTGTTATCAAAATACTGTATTTATTTACTCTCACATCTTACAAGGGAGGTCGTTTTAGAAAGGCTTTCAGAATTTTCTTTTTTTGACACGTGTTAGTTGACCCACTCAAACAGCCCCTGTCGAAACCTCTATCGATGTTGGACTATTTGAATCACTTTTCGACATATTATGCTTGTCTGGGAAAAAAAGGTTAGAGAGTATTTTTTTGCAGTCTGAGTACGGTAGCGATATCGAAGCGGAGAGCACACAGACGGTGGGGACGCAGACACTTTTTCTCTGCGTCTCAACCTTTTTTTACTCAGACAAGCATAATATTTTGAGTCGGAAGGGGCGAGAAAACCATGAGAAACTAAAAAGAACTCATAAAAATACATTCCATACAAAAATTGAAAAGTTTCGAGCGAAAATTTTTTCATCGAAAATCTCGCATGGAGTGTGGCCACCAAAAAATTCGAAAATTTCAATAGCTGAAAAATTGATAATTTCTGCTTCCTAAAGTTTGAAAATCGGCAAAAACTCGGGCCCGAAAAATGTTTTGAGGGAGTCGAACCCCAGACCTTCAGCTGAACAACACGCGCCACTACCACTCGTCCACCTCACCGCTGAAAACAACAGTGCGTAACTGTGTACCAGTGTGTGGTGTTCCCCGGAGGTTTCCAGGAGGCGAAATAATGGCAGAAAGTGAGGTTTACAAAGAAATTGGAAACTTTCAGACGAAAATTTTCAGCATTTTTGGAAAAAGTGCATATACAGATTCTGACAGGGGCTTTTTGAGTGGGTCAACTAACCCGTGTCAAAAAATAAGAAAATTCTGAAAGCCTTTCTAAAACGACCTCCCTTGTTAAACTGGAATCAACTCTCACTTAAACGGTGGAGTAGTAGGCAGAAAAACTGGGCATAGAAGCCTGTTAGCACATGAATATCCACAAGGATATTGTCGAATTAGAACAGCTTGGCACATGAAAATTTGAACGCACGGTTTGATAAACTGAATAATATTTTCAGATTTCGTATTGCTCTGGCAATATTCCCAACCGAGTTTAGGTTTTCGGTGAAATATGTGTATTAAAAATACTAGCGGTCGTGATGTAAACAGAAAACCGCACAGAAGTTGTTGACGAATTAAAAAAAGTGGGACCTGGAAAAGTTCGCGGCCGGCTTCCCGGTCAATTCTCGAGGCCTTGCCCCAAAAACACTACGGTAGTAAACGAAGCTTATTTATTTCTGTGAATTATGTGAGATTTTCTGGACAAAATTTACGTTTCTTGGTATGAAAATGATATCTAGCATCTCTATAATCTGTCTTTCATCGAAAAACCGAGCTTAATTGCGAAAGTGGCTCGAACGAGGCGAAACTCTGAAATATAACGTTTTTGCCGCGCTTTTTCGTAGATCAAAAAAGGTTACGCTTTTCAAATTCTCAGGTCCCACTTTTTTAATTTGACAATACGGAATTTGATTTTGTTCATACGGTACCGGATTTGGGGCTTCCAAACGAACACCATCCGCGAAAATTTCAGGTGTTCACGGTACTTCAAAAATCTCGCCCCAGAAAACTTTTAGACCAAACGAAATTCAATATCAGAAACAAATTCAGTCATGGGACTACAGTGCACAGTAGACTCCGGTCCGGTTTTCTCAGATAGTGTCGTACTACTTTTCAAACTCCTTTCGGATGCATTATACTTTTAGAGGGGCAATACATTTTAATTGACTTTTCTAATACATTTTTGCTACAATCTTTATTTTAAAAAGTATAGTAGAAACATAAATATAATCGGAACGAAAAAAGCATATCACATAAGCTACCAGATAAGAAACGAGACGCATGAAATATGGAAGTTAGATTTTAGCTTCAATCAGTTTCTCAAGAGTTCTGGCGTCTTTCGCGAAGTTGCGGATTCCTTCAGCAAGCTTCTCTGTGGCCATTGCATCCTCATTCAGAGCCCATCGGAAAGTCTTCTCGTCAATGGTGACCTTTGGAAGATCCAATTCTTTGGCTGAAAAATTCTCAAATTAAATGCACGGCCTCGCGGAAGGGAACCTAGATTTAAAAATTGGAGAGCGCGCCAAGTTTGGACGCGTAGCGCGGTCGCGTCGCGGCTTCCCGGTGAGTAGCGACTCAACAACGTTTAACTTCACGTTTTTCAAAACACGTTTCAAAATTTTCGAATCTGGCACGCAGCCAACTTTTGTGTGCGACGAAGCGCGCGTTTTTCAGGTTCCCAACCGCGATGGCGTGTAAATGCCAAACAGCGATCATGCTAACCGTGTGAGGTGCTGAGAACAACAGGCGCAGCTTCTGTTTCTGTAGCAAGTTGTTTCAGGAGAGCGGGGGAAATAGTGAGAAGGTCACATCCAACAAGTCCCTTGATTTCCTCGGTGTTTCTGAATGAAGCAGCCATCACTTGAGTCTTGTAGTCGTACTTTTTGTAATAGTTGAAGATACGGGTAACACTGACAACTCCTGGATCGTCCTTGCGAGTGTAGGCCTTCTGGTCGGTGTTTTTCACAAACCAATCCATGATGCGACCAACGAATGGAGAAATGAGAGTAACCCCAGATTCAGCACAGGCAACTGCTTGCTCGAAATTGAACAGAAGTGTCATATTGCAGTGAATTCCGTGCTGTGATTCGAGGAACCTGAAAACAGCCCATTGAATTAAAAAAATAGAAAAGAACTAAGTCTCTCACTTGGCAGCTTGGATTCCCTCCCATGTAGAAGCCAATTTGATAAGAATGCGTTCCTTCGAAATTCCTTCCTTCTCGTATTGAGCAATAAGTCCGAGTGCTCGATCAATCGATGCTTGAGAATCGAAAGAGAGACGAGCATCAACTTCAGTGGAAACTCTTCCTGGAATCGTCTTCAGAATTTCTTTTCCAAAGACAACGAATAGACGATCCATGGCCGCCTGAACGATTTGCTGATGACCATGATGACCAGTGGCGTGTTCCTTCGCATATGCGACAGCTTCGTCGATCAATGCAGCGTATTGCTCCATCTTGGAAGCAGCCAAAATGAGAGATGGATTAGTGGTAGCATCAGTGGGCTGGAACTCTTTGATGGCTGGAAAAGGAATAGAATTAGACTGATGAGAATTTTTCAGATTCAGTGTCCAAACCTAACGAAAACCATTATGTCACAAAATATTCAAGAAATCTCACCGTTGAAATCTCCAGTATCAGCTACAACCACAGAAGCAGACTTGAGTTGTTCGAGAACACTCATTTTTGTGACTTCTTCTGTCAAAACTTATTTTTAGATAGTTATTTTTCTAACAATCATTAAAAAAAATGAAGAGAGAGTATAAGAAAGAATAATGGGAAAAGTACAGCCCATGATTTGAGAAGAAACGAAAGTGTGTATCATCGATTTTCATTTATAACGACCAACAAAATGATTGTGGGGGAAAGGTAACAGTGTGAAACAATGAATATAACAAAAACATAACATTTTTTGGTGTGGAATCTACCACAAAATTTTAACAAAAGTAACAACAACAAAGATAAAATAGTAACTAAACGAAGAATTTTTAAAAATCAACAAGAATGTGGTTATGATTGTAGTTTGTAGTTTGTTAACTACGAATGTTGTGTTGTCATCTCAAACCATTGGCGAATCGATTCAGCGATGACGGATGGTAATTGTTGGACCGATTTGACGAGAGCGTAGAATGGGAACGGGAATATGGAGAGGTATGGCGTGAGTATCTGGAATGGGAAAATATTCGATTGTCAGCATTTTTGGAGACCCAGAGTCATAGAGAAATGAAATGAAACACCTAATGTACTTTGTGTTCGACCAAACAAAACGTTACAAAATACCGAAAATCAGGAATAGGTCAACAGTATCTTACCACTTTATTGTCTTTGAATGATGCAACCGTGTGATCTTCAATCGACTTTTTCCCAGAATCGAGAATAATAAAAAGAACCGTGACTCCTTGCAGAGCAGAGTACAAGGCTCTAACTTTATCGGCTCCTTGCGAAAGAGCACCTCTTCCATCGGAGATCACAATCAGCATTTGTTCAGAAGTAGCAGTTCTGATTTCATCAAGCTGCTGTTTTGCATTCTTGAGAAGCAGTAGAAGATCAGTCTTCTTTTGAGAGAACGTCATCTGCTTCAGCATTTCGATGCTACTACTTGCAGATGCTTCACCGAACGGAATGATCGTTTCGACGTTGGCACCAAATGAACAAACCGAAACTCGGCCAGCATCACACCTTCTGAGTGCATCTTCAACAATACACACAGATTCACATGTACTTTGATGAATTCCATTTTCGTTCATGGATTCAGAATCATCGACAGCAATCATAATCTGAAGAGTTTAATTATATATTTTCTGATTTAGTCACAAACTCACTTGATACTCTCTCTGGGCCCGTTTCGTTCTTCTCATCCAAATTCGATCTTTCCGATATTCACTAGCAATGTATGGAATCAATCTTCTCATGTTGAGTCTTTTTCCACTGCGATAGTCTCCCTGCATCTTATTTGCCCTTTGTGGTTCGAGAATCAATCGAAGATTCTCAGCTAACTCTGCAGCGAGCATGCCGACAGTTCGAGACATTGCGGCCCACTGTTCGTCGGCTTTCTCGTTGATTCGACGAACAGTTGATTGATCTGGACGTTCTGGACTTTCGGGTTCGTCTATCATTCCCGTCACAAGGTCTTTGGTGGTTTCTTCGATCTGTAAAAAAATTAATTGAAATCAATTTCCAAATCAAATGCATTCTCACCACAGTGAACATATCCTGCGCAGCCATATGAATGTGGGCATCTTTGGTCTCTTCAGCATCTTCGTCTTCCACCTCCCCGCCGTCGTTCTCCCCAGATGTACCTTCTACTGCGTCCTTCAGTTCTCTTCTTTTCTTCTTCTCTTCCTCCCGTTTGTCCTCTCTTTTAGTCTGTTGAGCTTCTTCAATAGTTCCTTTTCCTACTTGTTGACGATCAGAAATTTCTGCATTCTCCATCTGCTGGCCTGACTCATTTTCCTCTCCTTCTCCCATTTCGGCTTCTTCCATCGGAGCATCGTCAGTTGCCAACTCTCTTTTCCGTTCCACCTTCTCTTCATCATCTTCCTCCTCTTTTTCTTCATCTTCTTTTTTAGTTTGCTCCTTCGGTGCCTCTCCTTTACTTCCATCTCCGTTCGGGTCAGATTTGCTTTTACCTTCTCCCTTTTCATCTTTATCTTCTTGATCCTCCTTCTCTTCCTCTTCGGCTAGTCCTCCATCAGCAGCGTCTTGTTTATCGTCCTGATCGTTCTGCTCACCACCAGTTCCCTGTTCGAGAGCTTCATCTTCCTTCTTCTGTTCCTCCGCCTCTTCATTTTTCTGCGTCGAATCTTCAACGTCTACCAAGTCCTGTTGCTCATTTTGATCTTCTTCTCCATCACCTTCGATGGCCTCTTCGTCTTCTTTGTCAGTTTCGTCCCCATCGTCCCCGTCCTCAGTTTCGTCGATTTCTCCTTTCTCAGGATGCTCATCGTCTACGTTAGGTTCAGACGTATCCATCTGATCTTCGGCACGCTCATCGTTTTCTCTATCTCGCTCATCCATATTTTCCTGTTCGTCCTCTTCAGGCTGATCATTTTTCTCTTCATCCTTTCCTGCTTTGTCTTGATCCTCATCTTTTGTCTGCGCATCGTCTTCTTTGGCAACCATCTCGTCAGTTTGATTGTCAGCAGCTTGTTGCTCCTGGTCCATGTTCTTCTGCTGCTCTTGTTCTTTCTCCTCCTCATCCCACATCTTTGGATCCAACTGTTTTTCGTCTTCCTCCTCCACGTCACCCATTTGATCTTCTACGTCCGGTTCTTCATCAGACTGATCTTCCCCTTCGTCTTGGTTTCCCTTCTCGTTCTTGTCAATATCTTCAAGATCTTCAGCAAAATCATCTTCCATATCGATCGGTCTCTCGTTGTCATTCTTTGATTCGTGTTCCTCCGAGTCAGCCGGCTGCTCATCTTCAAGTCCTTCAATTTGACCAGTTTCCTCCATTTCATCCGTCACATCTTTAGCGTCTTTAGCTGTACCTCCCTCTCCGATTCCTCCACCTTCTCCAGTATCATCAGTTTGACCGTCTCCGGATTCTTGTTTCTCTGCTTTTGGAATCGAATTGACGTAGCCTTTTTCGTACAATTGCATGGTCATGGAAAGCATTGAATGGTAGAAAACGCAGAAATATCCTAGACAGTTTGATAAGTGCGTCACACCACTTTCTATGATGCTTGCTGTCATTTTGCTCAACTCTGCGAGACCTTCGATGTTTCGTCCACAAGTTTCTCCACTCGAATGTTTCTGAACGATTTCAGCCAAGTACTTAACAACAGTCTCAACATCTGATTGTTTGAGAATGTCCCGAAGAATATTGATTTGATCAAGAGCTTTAGGTTCTTCGTTCACCTTCACCGCGTTCAATTTTTTGTAGATATTCTGAACCAGCAGAAGTAGCTGAGTGACATCAGTCTCACATTCTTCAACGGGAACGGATGAATCGAATTCCTTCGTCCATAATGACATTTCTTCAAGGTTTTTAGAAATTTGTTGCTTCTCAGATTCGAAGAAACCGTCGAAAAGATTAAGAATGTCGAGCAGCGCTTTCGAATCTTCATTCAACTGAGATCTCCAAATAGCATACTCGATTGATTTGAAAATTGAAGTGTTTCCAAAGTTCTCATTGATCCGCTTCATATTTTCAATCAATGTAGACAACTTCGCGGACCAGTTCACAAGTTTCTGAGCAATCTCATCGGATTGTGAAAGTTTGGATAGCTGATGGAGATGAGACTTTGAACGGATAAACTCTGAAAAATCGAAATACTATTAATAAATGATTCGTTGAAAACTAACCATCTGAATGATAAGGAATCGCTTCCAATCTTCGTTTCATGGATCCAACAAAAACTTCCATTGACGAAATCAGACCAGCAACTTTTTCGATTCTTCCTTTAACAATCTCATGATCGATTATCCATCCACTTCGTTGATTTTCGGACAAAACTTTGAGATGTGCGGAGAAGGAATGCATTTTTGAAATGCTTGATTTCAGATCACCAATGCTTTGTTGCAGAGAAATCATGTAAGACATTCCGTACTCTGAAAGAAAAATTATGTTATAAATTACAGTTATTTTGAAGAACAAACCGATCATTCCGCTGAGGTGCTTTCTTGTAGAAATTCCGACTTGTTGGTCGATCTTGTTGACTTTTTGGATGACAATGTTTCTACCAGATGAACAAATTCTCATTTCTTTTTCGCATTCTTCTTTAGAAACAACATCAAGGATCGAGGATTTGTTGATATCCTCTTGAACCAACAGCACAGCTTTTCTCGCATTCAAACCGATCGCTTGTGACTCTTTGATCATCATTGCAACTTGACGCTGTCGAGAATTTCTAGCATATCCTTGCTGTTTCTCCTTCTCTTCATCTTCTCCAACATAATTGATCATTGTTCGGATAGCTTCATCCGCCGCTTTAGTTTGCTCATAAAGCTCTTCGATGGCAGTAGTCCCACAAAGATGAGAGAACTTTTCATTGATTTCAGTGGCAAACTTTCGAACTTGTTTGATTCTCTTCTCGCAATCGTTTCCTGTCAGATCCTCGTCAGATGTAGATGCATCTTGATCGAAAACCTTCCTTTTCCACTCTTCAATTTTTTGAAGAATACCAAAATCTTCGTGTAGCTCTGCATTGATAGCATCCTTGAATCGTCGAACAATTTTGTATAATTGAGCATGAGCTTTAATTGAAGAAACACGAATATTCCAAAGGTTCAAATCATTGTATTTGACCACTCTGAGATAGTCTTTCAGACCTTTCTCAGCAGGTTCCCGGGCATCTTTCAATCGTTGCTCAACGCGTTCAGTGAAAATTGCAAAATGCCTTGAAGCAGCCTCTAGTTGTTTCGCCAGCACACCCTTCCCTGCGATTTTCGCCCAACGAGACAGAGATTTAATTGTGAGAACTCTAGTGGAGAAGTCGACAAGTGTCGCATTATGCATCCATTCGATACTCATTGGAATGATAGACGCCTCCATTTCTGGTGTTGTGGCTTCGAAAAGTGATTCGAAGAGTGGGAATGCGACAAGTTGAGCTCTCTGTTTTGCTTCGTTTTCACAGTTGACGAGTAAACTCGACCAGCATCGAACTTCCATCTTCTTCCAATCAACCAGCATTCTTCTCAATTCTCCGAGCGGATCTTTCAACGAATTCGCACGATCCGCCATCATTTCCCACTGCTCACAAACCTCGATGAGATTCTCAATTTGTGTGGCAACTTTGATATGCGGAGTTGAAACAGATACAGTGAAAAACTCGTCAATGGTTGTGATGATGGTTTTCAGGGATACAACTTCTGGCCATCTCTCGAGTACTTCTTTTGTTCTAGTCGAAAGTCTCTCCAAGATTACAGCAACACGGCGACATTCTCGAAGTGAGGAATTTCTATAGACATCAATAACTTTTGTGTCTTCACCATCTACATCATCTGACAATCCTTCGTGGGAAGCCAAAACTTCGAAAAGTTTCTGATCACCATCTGAAACATTTTCAATTAAGAACCAAATATGGAATAGTTAGAATCTCACCAATGCACTGAGTCCACAAAGAATCTTCCACAGGAATCGCACCAACTTCACTCATCACGTATCTCATCCAAGCCAGTGCCATCTCATACCGTTCATCTGATTGTTTTCGACTTTTATCATCAACCAACGAGAACTTTTTCTGTTCTACTGCTTCCAAAAGCAAAGAAACATCAGAATCTGGTAGAACTTGTGAGTCTTGCTCTTGTTTGGCGAAAAACTCTTCAATGTCCATTTCGTCCTTCTCCTCCTCAGTTTTCGTACGATAGATAAAATCTTTCTGCTCTGCTTTGGCAATATTCTTCTCGTACCACTTCTTCCACTGAGCTCTTGTCCACTGAATCTCGGTGATCGATGAAGAAAGATTCTCGTCTTCGATTTCCGATAACTTCCTTCGCACTACTGCAGATTTCAGTTGAAGTGGCATTGGAGATCCGTCACGAATTGCCCAGCTTGAAACCTCGTTTGAAACAAGACCAGAAGGGGTAGAATAGAACTTTATGAACCGGGGAAATGCAGAAGAAAGTGTCGCATGTTGCCTTTTCGCTTCTTGTTTCCATTTCAGAGCCATCTCATTGAAAGCAATTTCGACAATCAGTAGACCAGCGACAAACGGCATTGATACATCAACGAAGGACACAAACTTGCGGAGAATACTCTGAACATTTTTGTAATGCATTAAGACCACAATTTTTTTGAAAGCTTACGATTCTGAAGTTTTCTGCGCTCATTGCAAACGATTTGAGTCGAGCCATACGGATGACAGTCATTTTATCATTAGATTCGTCAGAACTGCTTCTCATATCGGAAATAGTAGATTTCACAAGATCAAGGAATGATCGCATTTCTGCACATATCTGATTGTATTGTGTTGCAGATTGACGATAAATGACATCTTCGTGTTGTCCATCCTCGCAATCCAAATCCGCAAGTTCCTTTCGAAGATCATTGAGACCTCTGATAATGACTTGCGAAGAAGAAAAATCACAATCGGACGACTGTCTACCAACAAGTTCTCTCCATTCAGCCAGATAGCTGAGTTGTCTTTCAACGATTCTGCGTTTCGCACGAATGAACAAAGAACGTTCTTCTTCGAAAATCACTGGATCCAATGTCTCTTTCGGAGGCAACGCTCTCTCCATCATCTCGACTCCACACTCGATACCATTCTTGTCTCCATTAGTCCATCCTTCAATTCCAACACCCAAATGTTCTAGAGCATGTTTCATTACATTCCGAATAGAAGATGAATTGACAGCGAGTCTCCACAGTTTTGTTCCGAGTTCTTTGATTGGGAATTTTTGAAGATGAGCCATATTGAGACTCGATAGTGCAGGGTTGTAGTTGAGAGATGAGAAGAATAGACGTGTAGCAATGCAGTGTGCTCCGCCGCCAATCATCAACAAGTCAGAAACTAGAACGTTTTCATCGTCTTCTTCTTGGATTTTGCATGCAGCAACACTGACACAAAATACAGCAGCGGTACGAATCCATTGAGAACTCTTTGGATCTTTCCAATCGACTCCAGAGTATACGTTTGACTTCTTGAAGACATCATCTTTTTGGTTTACAATTCCAGATGAAAGAAACTCGAATAACGCATCCACACTTTCAACAACCTTATTGGATAATTCAATCGGAGAAACTGGAATCGGCGTGTTTTTATGCTCGACCTCTTCATCACTATCCTCCTCTATCATCTCCACATCGTTATCAGTATTCTCCTCTCTCAGAATCGTTTCAATATGCTCCAAGAAAAGTCTTGCTTGGTCTTCCGTCGAGAATGGACTACACACCGCGAACTTTCGCCATCTATGAATAAACTCGGTCACAAACTTCTCATAGGATTCAGAAGTCCACCCTTCGTCGATTTTTGCGCTCACTGATGTCAAGCTTTCCGTACTGAAAAATCATTGTAAAATTATTGCATAAGAACTGTTTATTACCAAGTGATGCCAATGGCTTTCGTTGCTTCGTTTTTAAGATCATTCCAGGCCAAATAGACAGCTGCACATCCAGTTCTTGTAGTCAGCTTTCGTCGAGAGGCAGCAATAAGGAGAAGATAGGAGATGGAGATACAAACTTCCCGATGAGCGTGACGTGAGACAGTGGTGCTCGTTTTGAACATCTCAATAATCGATCTAACCAGCTGGGAAATCTGCGGGAGATTGTTGAAGGTGACATCACATGTTGCAATTTCATCTGTAATTTCAACTGGTTACAACTTGAAGCTTATTATCTTAAATGTTACATTTAGTTAACGTATTGCAGAGATGTTCAGCAGATCCTTGATCAATCGGAATTTTAGAAATCATTTGAATGATCCATTCGAAAAGAATAGATCTGCTAAACTTCGATGATTGATCCGTCGGAAATCCAGATGAAGCTTCAGCGTCGATAAGATGGCGATTGAACGGATTCAAAAGATTCGCAGGAATTCTTTTGACAATAGAATCTGCAAAAGTCAGGATTTGAAATGGAAAGCGTCATCTCAGGCTTACCAACTAGATCATATCCAAAAATGGTTTGGAAATCACCCAAAAGATTCTGAATGCTCCAAGAACTGGTGGAAAGGAACGTCATCAGAGCGGCTTCGACATTAGAAACTTTTGCCTTTTCTGCGGCATGCTTCCATGTTGAAATCAGATATCTTTCATAGTCACCGCTCAGTTCACAAATCTGGTCGATTCTAGGAGCACAAGCAAGCTTCTGTACAATCACTTCATCGTCTTCATCGTCATCTTCCATTGAGCTGTCCTTCTGTCCACCAACTAATTTCCAGGCAACGTCTGTTGAAAAATTCTCCCCGTTTTCTTCGAGTAAAGCAGCGAAATGAAGTTGTTGCTCCGTTGTTAGGTCTCTTGAGACATTTTTACTTAATTCCATAGAAATTTCTGATCCAACAATTGCTTGAACGTCAGCTGGCCAGGAACTCCATCTCGATGTTTCATCTATGTAGATTTCCAAACTTCTGTTTCTCATGGCTCTAGAAACTTCACCAACTCTGGCGTCCATAGAAAGAAAAACTCGGAAATCGGGATGAGGTTCGAGTGGTTCATAAGAATTCTGTCTTTCGGCAACAACCAATTTTCCTCCACTCTCCAAACAGGAGTTGAGACGGTCCAACACAGCAGCACTGCACAAGTTGACATCTTCAATAAGTAGCCAATCTCCGTGTAAGTATGCATCGACAAATACGGAATCAGTCCACTCGAAACGCATTGAGCTTAGGTTTGCAATGCTGATCACCTCTCGAATCTCTTCGTCGTTTCCGATTTCAGAAAGAATCAATTCGACGGTGGCTTCTAGCTTGTTCAAATCGTCGACTTGCTGAACTCTGTCGACTGGAACATTTTTCTTTTGAAAAATCTCAATGATTTTCTTCTTGGCATCAGGAAGACAATCTTCATCCACAACTTGTTCATAGTTTCCAATCAACTCTTGCGCATCAGTGTCTGCATTCAAAGTGATCGACTTCAACTTCCTATTGCAGATATTGGCAATATTCTCAATGACGGTTCTTTTTCCACAATTTCTCGGTCCAACCAACAGTGTGAGCCAATTAAGTTCAACACAAGTAGCAACGCTATGTGTCAAAGTCATTTGAGATGCTAGAAGTCGGCGTTTGCTCGCAATTGGGGTAGTTTGGGGATTTCGTTTCAATGTGCATTTTCCGATTCGCATATCCTTCGCATCAACAGTTAATAAAACTGATCTGCTCACCAACTTCTCATTCGTCGTTTTCTCGTAAATGGATCTTATCAGCTCTTTGTCTTCTTCTCTACGTATTCTTGCCATGTACACCAATTCAAAACCTTCTCCAAGAGATCGTCCAGCTGCTATCAAATCATACCATCTGAGCAGATCTCTTAGATTGAATGAATAGGGTCCTCCTAGGAGAGTTCCTCGTTCCGACTCTTTTTCACATTGCTCGCTGATGGTGACCATAGCTCTTTGTTGCTCATCACTCAAAAGATTCTTCTCATCTACTCCGTTCAACACAATCACGATGTCCTCCTTTGTCAAATCGTTTGTGTAGATATTTGTGAAACGATTAACGAACGACTTCGGAAGTGCTCTTCTGTTGCCTCCTTGAACTCGTGGATTTTGACAGGCGAAGAACCTGCAGTTTGACGTGGCTGGGATCACGAATTCTCGATTCAATTCAGCAATGTACAATACTTTTCTATGATCGAAGCACGCATTGAGTCCTTCTAAAACCGACTGCGAAGCCAAATTCATTTCATCAAGTAAGATCCATTCTCCTTTCTTGATCGCTTTGAGAACTGGTCCATCTTCCCATCTGAACGTCATCGTTCCATCTTCTGTGAGTACAGGAACGTCGCTTCCGAAAAGGTCTGATAAATCCGTTTGATCACTGAGATTGAGTCGAGTGATTGGGTTTCCAGTAAGTTGAGCGAGAGCCATCACTGTCGAAGATTTACCACATCCAGGAGCTCCTTCCAGAAGAATCGGTTTATTGATCAGAAGACCTCTAGCAATTCTATAGAAATTTTCAGAGCATGTCGGTGCTTTTAACGAGAACGCTTTTGGAACTTTTGGAGGAATTGATCCGAATGGAACGCGTAGATGGGCAACAATCAAACAATTCGACGTTTGCTCAATTAGAACTGTTTTCTTGGCTTCTTGGATGAAATTAGAAACATCAGAGAATTGGCTGACGAGTTCTGTTTTGACTAGTTTGGTGTGAAGCTGGAAAAACGTTATTTCTTGAATATATAATCAGAAGTTCAGCTTACCATAGTCAGTGCATCATCGAACACTTCTTCTGCGTCAATATGAAGACGAGTTGTCAGTCCAGCGAGAGAATCCAGGAATACAGCACACAACGCATCTCTGATAGCAATTGGAGAATCGATCTGAGCAGTCACCGCGGAAGAATAAAGTTCTGCACAAGCAACAACATCTCGAACGGATGGGGCATGTCTGGAAAAAAATATTATACTCAGTATTCAGGAAAACAAAGTTTTTTGAACTCACCTGAACACATGAGAATATTTTCCGAAAAATTGAGAAATCCATGTGACAATAGAGGTGGCTGTTTTTGTCGGTGATATTCTAGATTCTTCTCTGGTTGCCTCCACCCTTGCAAGTCTGTGATCAAAAATAGTTGCAAGTTCAGATGTGGTGTAATCACTAGACGTCCATACTTCTGTGAATCGATTCCTGAGAGCCTTCGAAAGTTCCTTCTTTCCATAATCACCACCTGGATTCATAGTTGCAATTATCTGGAATCCTGACTGTGACTGAACAACTTCGGTTTCAGTTCCTGCATCAGATAAGAGCAGTGCACGATCTTCTTCGAATAATGGATTGAGTCTTTCTAGAACTGAATCTTCGGCAAGTGAAATTTCATCAACAAGCAGCGGAGCTCCTTCGCGCATAGCACTGATAACAACTCCATCTGACCACTCAAATCCTCCATCATGTTTTGGGCGCAGTCTTCCAAGAAGATCAGCAGTTTCGGTTTTTTCGTGACAATTGATGCTACGAAGTTTGCCTCTTCCAACTAATTCTGAAAGTGTCGTTTTTCCACCTCCAGTCTCTCCAACCATCAACACAGCTTCGTTTCGGAGCCATGCTTGTTCTGTCAACACGAGCATCCTTCTCATTCCAAGTGTCAGAACAACTTTATCAGTGATTACATCAATAGGCATGTATGGAGATTCCATAGAAAACAACTCATCTTTGTTGATATTCCTTTTGATAATCTTTTCCAGTGTTTCGACTACTGTAGCTTCATCCTTCTCATTTCTGCATCTTCCTGCCAAAAGGAAGTATCCGTGATTGACTAAAATTTGTAACCAATCATCCGTAGTTTCATCTGTGCTCAATCGTTTGGCCCATCTGAAGACGTCTCGGAGAGTCATGAGGCCGTCTCTAGCAGAGAAAAGACCCGATAGACTTCTGCGATTTCGTAGCTCGTTCAAGACTTCAATCATTTTCAAAGCAGCGTTCGGTGAGATACCACATCGTGCACGTACCATTTCCGATAATTCGTCAATTGGTAGATGTAGGAAACGAAGGACAATGAAACGGGACATCAGAGCTCTTGAAAGTCGTTTTCTTCCTGCATAAGAACCAGCTGGATTCTGTGTAGCAAAAAGGCGGAACCGAGGATGAGCTTTGATAGTTTCATTGATTTCAGAGACGAACAACTCACGATTGTCGTCTAGCAACTGGAAATAAATGTTTAAAGCTCAGGAAAATGAAAACAATGCTTACCCTGTTCAACGCCTCGATGACATCGGTTGGTGCCAAGTTCAACTCGTCTAGAATGACCCAGGATCCATCTCGCACAGCTTGAACTAGAGCTCCTTCGCGGAAAACCAACCTTCCTCCTGAATCAGCTACATAGGAACCCATGTATTCTTGAACATCCGTATGTTCGTGATTATTGATTCGGACAATCTTGTTTCCAGTCACTTTTGCCAAATGACAAATGATTGAGGTTTTTCCTGCTGATGTCTCTCCTTCCAACAAAATCGGGAACCGTCCACTGCACACGATTCTCGCAATTTCAGCTAGATTTCCTTTTACAGTCTTCGTGATAACATATTTAGGATCGTTTTCCGGAAGCAGCGTTCCTTTTTGTACGTAATATCCTCCGATTTTGACATAGTTATGAGACTCCTTTGGCTCTGGCATCACTCCAACTTTGCATCGAAAAGCAGTTTGAATTTTTGATCGCATCACTCCTTTTTCTTCACTCTCCAAATTGGTTAAAAATGCCATGGAAACAGCTTCGTAAATTGATTGGTCCACACTTCCGAACATGTTATCGGCAGTGAAATTCAGAGCACGACACAGCGTTCGAAGTGAATAACTCGACGGATAAAGCTGCTTGGCAGACATGTAGAATTTGACGAGATTCTCCACAAATGGCTGAGAAACTGTTGGTAGATACGCCGAGACGATGAGAGCCAGTTGGAACGGATCAGACGTTTCCGAAACGAAGAACTCAGTGAACCTATAAAATCTTGATGATTTGAAAATAAAAACGATTAAACCTCGTTCGTACTCCTGGTGGAAGACGACGCTTTCCAGCGTCTGTAGCTGGATTCATACATGCGAAAAGACGGAAGCTTGGATGTGTTCCGGGTGCTGATAATGCGTTAACGATTGCGTCAAGACACTCTGGTGGAGCCAGGTTAATCTCATCAACAAGAAGCCAATGTCCTTTTTCCGCAGCCTCCAAAACAGCGCCTTTCTGGAGAGCGAACGGAGCTGCTCCTTTTTCGAGACCATCGCGAATTTGTCTTGCACGAACCAGAAGTTCTGCCCATCGTTCTCCTTGTTAGTGCATTTTCTTTGAAGAGCTTTGATTGCAGTAGCTTCAACCAAACTCAGATAGTCCTTGAATCTTCCCGATGAGAGGCATTTCTCCAAATTGTCAACGAACTTTTGATTGTTTTTGGAATCGAAATTTTTTGTGAAAACTTCCATGTAGAACTTGGTAAACGGTTCCATCAAGCGACCGATTGTTGTTGGTTTATATCTGCAACTTTGTAAATCAATAAACTTTAAAAAAGGCAAATTTCGTACCCTTGAATTAGTTCATCCGAATCAGAAGTCGGGCTTACGTTCACAACATCCAATGTGACACCAATGAGATCGGCAACAGCCTGAACGATGGACGTTTTACCAACACCAGTTTCTCCGACTAGTAGAAGCGGCTCATTATGAGACACACAGACACCAATTCGTTCCATCAGTTGGACAACGTCTCTAGTGTGACCTAGTCGATGTCTTCCCGTTTTGATCATGCTCATTTTCCTTGGAATTTTTGATCTACCAACTGAAACAACGTGCTCGTCATATTTCACTTCTGGCTGTCGAACAGAGAGATGTGTATTCACACGATCCGGATTCACATTCAACGATGAGGCAACCTATAATGAATATAAAAATTAATAACTCTTCAGAATGGACGACTTACGATGTTGCATAATTGATTAGCCCTCTGTCTGGGATCGGCAAGACACCAGGTATCAATTAACTCGGCGAAAGTTTCCACATTGGCAGAGATATTAGGTAGGAGCGCCAAGCGAGCACAACCACGGAGAAAGTCGCTGAAAATCGAAAAATTGAATGTGTAACCCAATATTTACCTTACGTCGATGTTAGTTGTCTCGAGTTTCCAGTACCAGGAACGTTTTCTATCTTTCGGAATGTGGAAATAAGAGTCCGAGAAAGATGAGCAATTCTGGGATAGGATTTAGAAGCTAATCTCTTGAGCTCGTCATCGGATAAGGATTCGACCCGAATACGGACTGGCACACCGTCCAAAACGGCAGTTTTTTTGCCTTTTCCACTGGAAAACACAGAAATATTATCTTAGTACAGGGGTCTTATAAAACTAACGACATAGTGGCGATAATTCGAACTTCATTGTGAAAATCCAAATTCTTTTCAGAGTTGGAAGCATCTGTTTGACGATAAGTAGCAATGTCGACAATCTTTGAGACCACATCAGCGTTTGCAGCATCGATATCTTCGAGAAGAATCACTCCAGGAGCTTGGAGCCACTTTGCAAATGTAGATTCTTTCCACACAAACTGACCAGCCACTTCTGTACAATGGTATGATCCAAAGAGAGTCTGAAATTTTGTTTCTACTTATTCGTTTTTTTTGTATTTGAGACATACTTTAGAATCGATCTGATCGCCCATTTGCATGACATGAATTGGTAGACCGAGAACGGAAGAAGCATAAAGACCCAAAAATGTTTTTCCACAACCCAGTGGACCTTCCACAATTGCAAAATGACGATTCCTAATAGCAGCAACTAGTTGATTTCCGATGAGTTCGCGAGTCGGTAGAGTCTCCAATGGTTTATCTTTAAATAAATGTTGTAAAACTGATTTTACTGTTTTTTTAGTACCTTTCTCTGCACACCTGACATTACCGGCTTGAACGATGTCAACACTGTCATCTAAAAGTCGTTTCTTCTGTAGAGACACTTCAATGACTTCGAGATCTTCGTTGGTTTTCGAGTTTGACAACTGCCGTTTTCTGGCTTTTTTTTTCTCTTTGTTTTTATTCCCCATGATAATATTAAACCCTGAAACAATTGATTTTACTTCATTATATCAGTTATCTCTATGATAATAGGTGAAATTTATGTTTTTCAGTAAAATTTCAGCAAAATTAATTTTTCGCAAAAATTGAAAGACGCAAAGGAACTGCTGGCGCATTGTCGTTGTCTATGGCGCACTACTCGATATAAGCGGGAATTCAAAAAGGACACATTTAGTAATGTAACTGAAAAGAAGTCAGAAACACTAACTGCTACAAGACACTATTGAAAACAGACGCAGAGAGAGTGAGAGACACAGACAAACGCTATGCACTCACAGAACCTCTATGAGCACTCAAAGAGACCTGTGTAACCTGAAAACTAGAAGACAATAAAACACAGAATTCCTATTAAAACTATATATTGAATTTACTCAATAAACCACTTTAAAACCTTTGTAACCAGTGAGCAACACTTTAACGGGTCGTCACCAATCCGCACCTCTTGCATGTGTGAGAGGGGGAGATTTCTCTCCTTTAGACTTGGAAAGAGGATTTTAAGAGAGAAAACACGGTAGAATACCGTACAATTTATTCACACAAATTCAAGACTATTTTTCAGATGATTTAGTTGATATCTTTTCCGGAAGCTCCTGTTCGTTGTCCTTCTCGGAAATAGTTTGCATAGTAGTAGTTGTCACTGTTTTTTGAGGTCCTGCCAAACGGCTACTTTTCGATTGAATACTCTGAAATGAAAGATTGAGAGACACAATGATACATAGCTAGTCATACTTTTTGAACAGATTCAGGCACATCTCGGTTTGACGCATTGTACATAGCTCTAACAATACGAAGAGTTTTCTCATCTTGACTTCTCTCGATTTGGGTTGTTTCAGCCTCCAATGGTGTTCCTGGATTTTCTTGAGCTCTGTGAAGCTGCGGAAGTTGATACTCAGCCAGCGAAGCATTCGGATATTCCAGTTGAACTCTTGCGTCAATGCTCTTTCTCCAGTGTTTCATATCGACTCTACAGGCGTAAACCAGAAGAAGTCCAACGAGAACTGTGAATATCAAGATTCCAATTAGGCTTACACCTGACCTGTTATCATTTTTCCTCTCGAATATAAACTAGTTTTAGAATCCTACTGTAGAAAAGCACTAGATCCTTGTGCAGCATCATTGAGAACTATGTGGAGAGAGAGAATTAGTAAACAGACAGCAAACTTCATTTGAGCTGAATTTTATAGGAATTGAACACTTTATTATCAACGAACTACGAATAAGCAAAACGCGAATTGAACTAGTTATCATCCCTGTTGGCTGATATTTAAGCGAGAGATTTTGCCGGCTGGAACCGATGTGGGCCGCCACGTTGCTATTCTCTTCCGAAGGGGATCCGGAAGCTCTCCAATTCCTTTTTTGTCCTGTAATAAAGAATTAGGGTGATCACTTGTAATCATTAAAGGTGGGGGGACAGGAGATTTTACGGGGGATTTTTGGGGCCAGAGTATGCATTCTACCGTAACGGTGTACAACGCCTAATGTCACTCTGCGTACAGCTGTCGCCCTCGCAATCGGGCAGCTGCTTTCTCTTTGCACGCGTAGCTCAGTCGGTAGCGGCGCCGCACCTCCAACACTCACCTCGACAAGTTCAACTCCTCGAGGAGCATATTTAAACGGAATTTCGACAACATTATTCTTCTCATGTCTCCCCACCTTTAAGACACTAACGTTTTGAAACGTTTCAAGAACTGAAATGAGGGTTCTCGTTGAAGGAAGGGCTGTTCCATTGCAAGTGTGGACATATTTAGTTGTGCCGTCAGCAGTCTTGTATTTGATACCAAGTCTTCTTGCTTGAAAATCCGTGCAATTACTCGCTGAAGAAACCTCTCCAGTTTCCTGCCAGGCATGCTTCGATATCGAATTTTTTAGTAGCAGACGTTCTTCAGAAGGCATTCCAAGTTCTTCAGAAGGCATTTCAAGTTGTCTGAAAATACATAGCTCAAGATGACAATTAAGACACATTTTCTGAGAGAATTGAGATCGGGTCAACAGGCGATGGCAATGGAAAAAATCAAAATGGTCCTAGGAGTTTGATATTGTATGTGGTGGGTATAGGGGCTACTCTAAAACTTTTGACCATGATACCCATAGGCCACGCCCCCTCCTGGGCGCGAAAAACTACCGTAACCCCGAAAAATTATTTTTGTTCAGAATAATGATATCGACTCAAATGTTTCAGATTTAAGTTTCTGGTACTATTATGATCATTTTTTGTGTTGGGACCAACTTTCTACAGTAACCGTGAAGTAGAGAAAATTTCACTTTTGTGAATTTTTTTCACTTTTGTCGGGGTTTCTCAAAAATCTGCCTGTGTTAAGTGTACCAAATCTCGATAATTCGATACTTTGGACCTACGTACACTATAATATCATAATGCCATAAAAAATGAGGGATTTACAGAAGCACCAAAAAATCGGCAAAAATTGTTTCCAAGTCCATTTTCAGTGAAAAACTAAGAGTTACAAAAAAGCATGAAGACGATGAGAACGAATTCTAAAACTTTGCCAGAATAATACCCATCAAAACTACTACTTTTGAAATAAAATTAAAATTTCCACGACGAACGATGTTCAATGAATTTTTTTTGAAGTCGGATGAAAAATCAAAATTTTCAGTTAAAAGGAAACGAGTTAGAACTTTTGTGTCAACACTAAAAATGCTCAAAATAGCAAGAGTTATCCACTTAAAAGGTTCCCTTGTAAGCCTATTTTTTGTTGGGGGTTTACACTAAAGAATCTTTTCTCAAGAAAGAATTAAACATCTAAAACTGAAAAAAAACACTTTTAAATGGTTAATTTTGCTTTCGGAGGGCTTTTATGCATCCCCCTGATATTCGTCATATTTCTCTTCTCATTTTTGCTGGGAACAAACTCAAATCCACTCTGAATCATAACAAGCAAACGACCGTGGTTCCACGTTTCCATAAAAATCTGGTTCACTGCCGGCAGCGATTGGCAAGTTCACGTAAAATACCGTCGCCCGGTAATTTGGCAACTGAAATGCGAATTAGAAAACAAACGTTTTAAGGGAATAAATCATTTTAAAAGAAAATTTAGGTTGCAGCATCCGACGGCCATCAATAAATGCGCCAAACTGTCATTGAGGAGCCGTGGTGCAAACTGAAACATTAGAAACCTTGATTTGGCACTTCTTCTCCCTCCATCGGACGTTCATCTTCGCCATCGTGCTGATCTCGTTCTTTTCTCTTTTTTGACATGTTTTTGCTGAAAAATTGCTTGTTGAACCTCACTGTTCAAAAAATAAAAGTAATAGGACTTCGAAAATCTAACTACACTTCCATCCTCATAAAAGCCAACTGTAGCTTCTCCATTAGCGAAAATCCATCCAACTTTTCTACTCTGTTCAACTCAATTGCCAGATAACGAGCGACACTGAAATTTTGTGAATTACAAAAGTCCTATAAAAATGCTACTACTGTTTCCGTGTTCGTCCAAACATGGTGTACATGAAATGAGGTATTTCTTTCATCACTTTATCCGTCCAATCCTTTATAGTTTGTTGCTTTTCGTAATCACCGATTCTACCGGAAATAAATCGGAGTATATCTGACATAGCAGCAGATGCGGCATTATTATGAGATACCTTTGGCTCTGGCATCACTCCAACTTTGCATCGAAAAGCAGTTCGAATTTTTGATCGCATCACTCCTTTTCCTTCACTTTCCAAATTGGTTAAAAATTCCATGGAAACAGCTTCGTAAACTGATTGATCTACACTTCCGAACATGTTGTCGGCAGTGAAATTCAGTGTACGACGTAGATCAAAAAACTTTTTCGTAGATCAAAAAACGCGAACGTTTTCAAATTTTCAGGTGTCACTTTTTTTAATCCGACAATATCAATTAGCTCGACGAAAGTTTCTACATTGACAGAGATATCAGGTAGAAGCGCCAAGCGAGCACAACCACGAAGANAGTCGCTGAATCAGTACAAACTTCCCAAAAACCCCCGATTTTTGACACTCTGCGGTATTGATGACGTTTTTATTTCTCTGATTCCGTAAAAACCGAATAGATCACGGCCTCGCGGAAGGAACCTAGATTTAAAAATTGGAAAGCGCGCCAATTTTTTTTGCGCTGTCGCGTCACGGCTTTTCGGTGAGTAGCGACTCAACAACGCTTAACTTCACGTTTTTTTTCAAAACACGTTTTGAAATTTTCGAATCAAGGGAAGTGAAACTATTATTTTTGATACAATTCGAAAAATAGTTCTAGATGTTCTCGAAAACTTCAGGAGACAACACTAGAATATGAACTACGATTATTGAAGTTTCGAAAGAAATCACTTATTTGTGACATCGAGAGCAACCTGTCTGAGAGTACCAACGACCAAAGTTTGAGCAAATTCTCTACTTGTGTCTGAAAACACAAAATCGGAATTTTTGCGAAAAAAATACGGAAAAATTAAATTTAAACATTTTTCTGAAAATTTCTGAAAGAAATTGACTGAAAATGATTGCAAATTGTCAGAGACAAAGAAAAAGGATAGTTGGTTGCAGAAACGGTGAAATTTGAACGCGGGTGCAATTTCGCCCCCCCCCCCCCCCTGGACGAGCCAATGCAGCCGAAATGTCCATTTCCTCTTCGTTTCCAACAGATTTTTCTCGAGAATTCAAAACAGTGAGAGAGAGGAGATACTGTAGATTGCCACTGTTTTTCTCTCCATCTCTTTTTCTTTCGAAATCGTTTCTCTCTTCTGAAATGGTCGATTGATCGAAATGAAGCGATTTCGAAAACAACACTGAAAACTCAGAGAGGTCCGAAAAAAAGTGCAAGTTTTGCGCGCAGGAATGTGGTTGGGGCTGGGCGGTGTGTGTCTTTTTCTTCTCCTTTTCGAAGTTCTGTTCGATATTCTAATGTCTGTGCTCGCCGATTTATTTAACAAAATTTAAAACTTCAGGGTATCGTTGAGCATGCAAATAAATCAGATTATTATGACAACATGAAAAGTTAGGGGGAATGGATGCTAAATAATTGGAGGTATAGATCTTGTGGTAGGGATCGGAATGCAATCAAGTTAGTACATAGATAAGATTAGATTAGCCTGTGGGATGGGGTGGGGTGTTTAGAACAACTTATCAATATCCCGAGTTATCATCGTTGTACGAAGAAGAAGTACCGTATGAGCTGTCGCCGGCGGCTTGTGGAGCGGCACCGCAGGATGGAACGGCGCTCGGCCAATCGCATACCGAGAGTGCTGGATTGAAGACGGTGCCTGACGGGCATCTCATCACGACTTTACGTCCCCATACACAGCGATAGAATACTGAGCAGTTGTTGACGTCGGCGATGAAGGCTCCGTGCTCGGAGCACACTCCCTCTGTTCTTCCGTGATTCTCGCATCCGTTGACTTTCTGTGGGTAATCGCATTTGGCTGTCAACTCGTTGAAAGCGAGATTTGATGGACAAGATGCGTGCTCGAACAGTTCTCCTCCGAAGCACTGAAAACATAAATTAAGTCACTGTATATTTAATTTAAAATGATACCTGAAGAATTGCGGAGCAGTCTTTCTTGTTTCCGTAGAGACCATCCGACTTTCCGTCACAGTAAGCCGATTGTTCGTTGTTGTTATAATAGCTCTTGACTGCTGCATTCTGTGGAGTACTGCATTCAGTATCGGTTTCACGAGAAACACAGATGGATTGGGTGCGGGAGAAGACTTGCTTTCCAGGACAGTTCTCAAGCTTGGCAGCGCCATAAGTGCAGCGAACGTAGTTGCTACTGCATGTTCCCAAAGCGAAAACACCTTCTCCTTCGACATGAGCACATCGGCCGTCAACCTCCTTTGTTGTAGCTGGAGTTGTGGCGATGATCTGGAAAACAGAGGCATACTAAACATACTATACTTGGATAACTTACATCCTTAATGGCGTCACGAATAGCCTCCTTTCCACAAGCGATTCTGGCAACACATCTGTTCGAGTTGGAATCGAAAAGCTTTCCAACTCTGCAGGACTTCTCGACGTAGCCGGAGGCAGTGCATTCCAAGTAGATCTTCACACAGAAACCAGTGGAAGCACGGGATCCAGGTGTGCACTTTTGTTCGTAACCGGCGTCTTCCTCTTCCTCACTCTCGTCATCAGCACGGTTGTAGGAGTCACTGACAACTACAACATCTTGAGCTGGAGAATCAGATGATGGTGTATCTTCTCCGTATACGGCAGTTGTGGTGTACTCATCAGATGCGGCAGTCTCATTGTCATCATAAGCAGTTGTGGTAATGGCTTGGGTGGTCGTGGAGAGAACAGCTTCCAAGGTGACGTAAGGCAGTAGGCGAACGAGTCCGGCATCTGAAAATATACATCTAGAATTGTTCTCTGATCAGTTAAAATTTTACCTGTGGTAGTTTCCTCTTGATCACAAGCTTGTGCTGGGATTTGGCTGAAAGTGCGACAGTTCTGAATTGATGGATCATAGCCTTGTCCCAATCGGCATGTGATAGAGTTGACAAGACGTCCGTAGGAGCAGATAATGAAGGATGAAGAGCAACCTTGGCCATGAGTTCCGTCAGACAATCCAGTACAAGCGTCTAATGGCTCATCTTGATCGTCTCCCGAAACTGATAAACGGTATGGAGCAATAGAAGGAGAATATGTAGTTGGTTGGTCTTTAGCGGGCTGAGAGGATTTCTTATATCCAGAAGTGGTGGTTGAAGATGAATCATCTGATGGACCATAGTTGTACCTGGATGTAGTGGATGGTAGGTCCTCTGATGGGTTGTATGGAGATCTATAGCCAGAGGTAGTGGAAGATCCATACTCAGAAGTTGTGGATGGTTGATCGTCCGACAATCCGTATCCGATGGTTTGGTCATCCTGTCTTGGTGCACTGGTTGACGAGAAACCAGATTCACCTGAAATATAAACTTGCCGATGTTCAGGGATCTCCCACTCACATTCTGGAATCACATCTTGAAAGGTACATGTCTCTGTGGCCTGATTGAAGTACAAGTTAGCAGAGCACTGTCTAACGATAGCAGCACCGTTCGAGCACTGAATGTACTTTTGAGAGCAACCTATGGCAAAGAGTCCGGAAGAAACATATGCGCAACGATCTCCAACTGGAGCACGAGTGGTAGATGGAGCATCGTCAGATGGTGTTCCGTATGAATCGGTTGTTTGCTCACCAGCTGGCACAATGACGACTGGAGAGTAATTAGTGGTTGCCTGGCCTCCGCCTGAATAAAGTTAGTTACAACGGTCTGATCTCGTAAACTTACACTCTGTTACTTCGTCTCTGAAACTACACTGTTGTTGGGGCTGGTTGAAGTACAATGATCCACCGCATCGACGAACGATAGCGGCACCATTCGAGCATTGAATGTACTTTTGAGAGCATCCGAGAGAGAAGAGACCAGATGGCACAGAAGAGCAACGATCTCCAACAGGAGTGGAAGCCGTCGTCGTAGCTGGTTGGTCGTTCCACGATTGAGTTGTGGCTGGTTGATCGTTCCATGACTGAGTTGTAGTGTAAGACTCGTAAGTGGAAGGAGCTTGAGTTGTGAAAGTGTCATCCGAGCTTCCAGTGGTAGTGGCAGACCAATACGAATCGTCAGAAGTTGGAGTTCCAACAGTAGAAGTCACAACTGGAGTAACGACTCCACATGTTTCCGAGCAAGCGCGAAGAGCCTTGTTGAATGTCTCTCCAATCGGACAAGCAGCCATTCTGTTAACACCATTGCCAGAACAGTAAATGAACTGATCGAAGCAATCTCCGAAAGTGAGGAATGTTGGGGTTGTGTATGGCTGGCAATCTTTGTTGACTTGAGCTTGACGAGCGGTGATTTGAGTGTTCTGTTGTGCGTATCCGGATTTTTGAGTTCCATATGAGACAGAACGCTTTCTTCTCTCGGTAGATCCGAACAAGTCCTTTGGATCAAAGTTCTTGTCATCCTTGTAGCCATCTGGGTCTTCACGTGGTCCCAACTTTCTCTTCGAGTGCCGATCTTCTGGGAAGATTCTCTGAATATCGGACTGAACAAATCTGGCCTTTGGTCCTTCGAACTCGTCGTCAAGGATGATACGCTTGTTGCCCTCAACCTTTCTGGCTTCTCCATACCGAAGCTTTCCCATTTTGGCGCGACGGTAATCCTTGAATTGGTCATCAAGAGCCGCACGTCCACGGAAAGCAGTAGAGAATGGAGAATCGATGGCTGCTAAAATTGTTAGCGAATAACCAGAATGACTCAGATTCAAACTTACGTCTGTAATACCCACGACGGTGTCCTCTTCCTCTATGACGATCTCCTCCATGACGATAAGGATGGTGACGTGAAATGAAGAATGGATTCTCAATAAGTGTGTTTCCGTATCCCTGGTTACCATATCCTGGCTGTCTGTATGGTCCATAGTGGTACTTTGGCCGTCTGTTGAACTTTGGCTTCAGACGAACATTCTCATCAAATGGACTGACAATGGTATCGGATGGAAGTCCTCCGTAGGTGTTGTAGGTTGGGTTAGAAGGATAGGTGACTGGCTGGCACTGTGGAAGATCGAAAACGCACAAAACGAGAGCTGACTCAAAAAGTGTGTTGACTGGACACTGCTTCGAGCGGACCGAGTTGTTCTGGCAACGGTTGAAACGTGATGAGCACATTCCAAAGCTAGTGATTTGTCCTTCGTGGCAGACGATTGGAGCCTGAGCGGTGGTGGTGGGGACAGTGACGATTGATGCTTGAGTAGTTGTGACATCATCGAAACCTGGTGTTGTGATGTACTCCGGCTCATCGTCTTGTGGAGTAGTTGTGTACTCTGAAGTGGTTGTCGACGGAACATCAGCATCAGTAGTTAGCACGTAAGCTTGAGTAGTAGTGGTAACTGTCTCAGTGCAATCGTAATCACAAGCTTCTGAAATTAAAAATTCATATTAGTAATTAATATCGATGATGAAGTCCTTACGTTGACTGGGGTTGAAGACGGTTTCTTGTGGACAGTATCTTCTGAACACGACGCCGTTGTTGCAAGTGTAGAAGACATCGGAACAGCCATCGGCGTAGTTTCCGTTCTCCAGACCATTGCAATTATAGTCGATTGGCTCCTCGGTGGTTGCCTCAGGATCGTAGTATCCTTCAGTCTCGCCAGATCCCTCCTCGTAACCCTCATCATCGTCCTCGTTTCTGTACACAACTGGAGAAGCCGTAGTGGCGTTCTCTTCAACATCATCGCAAGATTCCTGGCATTCTTGAGTCTTTCCGTGGAAAACCAAGTCATCGGGACAGTACATCTGATAGGCTCGTCCTGATACACAGTTGACAAACTGGTTTACGCAGCCGATCGAGTAAAGTCCGTCGCGTTTCGATGAACAGTCAAAACTGTCGTATGGCTCTTCTTCGGTGTCGTCAGCCAGTTGGCATTCTGGAGAGTCCTCGATTGGAACGCATCCATCCTCGTAGAAAACGTAGCCATCGCTACATTTCGCTGTTTGTCGGATTCCTTTAACACATAGAGAATACTGAAAAAAAAACGATTGGAATCCAATAAACTTCAAGCGCTACCTCTCGACTGCAAGAGCCTCCTGCGATGCTTCCATTGTAATATGCTGGGCATTCTGGTGTTGATGAGTACTGGGATTGCAAACTGTTCGTGACTAAAGGATAGGAACTTATTCAAAGTAGGTGGAGAAGCGTAAACTTACAAAATGTTAGAAATACTAGCGAGACGGTAGCTAGCTTTGGCCCCATCGCCTGAAAAAAAATAGGATATTTGAAGGGAAATAATCGGGAAATTGGTTGGGAATCGGACAAAGACTGTAAGCAGAGAATCGGACAAAAACAGCGAGAACAAATTGGACTGAAAGCAAGAAGCCTCTGGAATGACGATCGAGAAGGAAACCTATGAAATTCCGCGCCAGTAACTCAAATTGTTACCGCGAGCGCCGGAAACTGAAGATCAGAAATTCTAGAATTCATAAAATTAAATTCAGGTTTAATCGTCTGCGATGGGGTTATTCAGGGAGTCGGCAAAAAAGGAAAAAAACTCCGCGAAAA